AAAATGTTGCACCAAAACGAAAGAATAAGCTAAAATGCATAGTTATGCTTTGAAGAGTATAATCAAAGGTATTTTTCATAGTAAACTGTGCCTCTGCAGATGCTGTGCATTGGCATTTTGTTGTAGATTGCCTCATAAATTCGAACCAGGCATTTTCTTTGGAAAAAGCAGTTTCAACGGTTGTGCGAGGCTTGTTAGGCAGGAACCAACATATGCGTGGATATATGAGAGCTGTTTGTGTGTTGTTAGGACTGCTGACCATGCCTCTGACCCTGACATGTATATTGATGAGGATGAGATTGAGGAGGTAGATATGTATGTATGGATGCCCTCTGCCAGTGGTAAAGGAGGTTTACCGGATGACTCCCCGAATACTGCTTCTGTTTTGATTTGGAAAATTATCTTTTCATAAATGGTTATGACTATGACATATAGTTACTAAAGCAACAAACTACAACATAGACGAGCCACTACGCTGACACAACAGGTGGTCATCTGCACAAAAGAAAAGCTTAGTGCCACAGCTGGACCTCGTTGGCAGCTACAACAGTGGCATGTGAGGGATACTCCATGATCTAAGTGTACATAACAACAGAATCATGTGGTGGAGGCCCCTATTTACAGAGACGATAAACATTGGTGCACCCAACATACAGAGGATCTGTTGATGTACTGGAGGTTAGCAGACCCACGCGTTCACCCCTGCCATTCACCTGCGTAATTGCAAGACACAACCTGCGCTTTGTACTGAACAGAACTATCGAGTAGTCACCAGTGCCCATAGTGCCTTCTATTAACCTGCATTCAAAACGAATATTTGCACTACATGTTTGAAAGATGGGGATGTGCCATCCGTCATGAAAGAAATGGCACGTCGAAAAGTATGGCGTTACAATTTGCAAGATGCATAGCTGCTGTGACGACTTTTATGTGCCAATTAAGATAACTTGGGTATTATTTTGGCAATTAAAAGCCCAACGTGCTTCCGAAGGAGTAAATGTAGCTGTACGAAAATTGGCAGCCGTTGATGTCTGCTGTAGTTGGATAAATATGAGAACTTTCATTGAAATCCAGATGGTTATTGCATGCCCTTTAGAGGGTTAAGGGCAGTCTAAGAGTGCTAAATATCAACTCTCTTTCTGAACTGCCTCCTTTCAATGGTCTCTGCGCAACGTTAATTTTGCCATTCTGGATAATACTGCAGCGAAACCACTACCCCAAGCAAAGGACATGAGCACGCACAAGGTTGAAAGAAAATGCGCACATTCACTTATACAAGCTGCTATTATAAGCGGAAAAACATTTACTAAAGTGCGCCGTCTCGAGAGGCTGCAATAGAGTCTACCGGCGCCAACAGCAAATCTATAGCCAAGTTAACTCGGAAAACAGACAGTGCGGTGCACCTCATACGCAGAGTGGCCAACAAAAGAAATGGGATCAAGGAAGACAACCTCATCAGATTGATGCATGCGTTTGTTCTAAGTCACTTCACATACGAGGCAGCAATACACAACTGGTCAAGAGCAGAGTCCGAGACACTGAATGTGCTCCTCAGGAAAGTTATCAAGAAGGTCCTGGGCCTACCCATACATACCAGCACCGAGCGTCTGCTTGAGCTTGGCATACACAACATGCTCGAAGAAATAGCAGAAGCCCAAGAGAGAGCACAGTTTGCAAGGTTATCTACTGCAAGGTCGGGGAGAATGATCCTGCAGGAGCTGGGCCAACACCCAATAACAATCAGACGCAATTACAATGATATCCCTGACAACATCAGGGAGACTATCACGGTATCTCCTATACCGAGAAACATGCATCCAGAACACAACCTCGGAAGAAGAGTAGCGAGGGCCAGGACTATACTTCGTCAAGTCTCAAACGAGGAACGAGGGGTCGTATTTGTTGACGCGGCTTCCTACGCCAATGGGAAAGCGTTTGTGGCAGTGGTGGTCGATGGGGCTGGCCATGTCGTCAACTCAGCGACGGTCAGGACGAAAGACCCAATCATTGCGGAACAAGTGGCCATCGCCTTAGCACTCAAGATGGATAACATTGAAGTCGTCTACAGTGATTCCATGGCAGCACTACGGGCGTTCGCCAAGGGGACGGTCTGTGAACAAACGCTGAAAATACTGCAAGGCAAGAACATAACACATCATCTTCTGAGTTGGTTCCCAGCTCACCTTGGACAAATCAACGATTCACCTCCCAATCTCAACGAAACAGCACACGAGAACTCTCCAACCGCGCCTCCCCGGGGATGCGTTCTACCGGTGAAGGGGATAACCGGGAAATTCTTACAACATATAACGAGCTCACTAAACATTTCTACCTGTCTAGAAGGATTTTCCCTCCACCTCACAAAAACCTAACACGGCCCCAAGCACTTACATTAAGGCTTTTGCAAACGCGGATGTACCCTACTTTGAAAATGTTACACATCATGTACCCTGACCTATACCCAAGTAATCTTTGTCCACATTGTGGGCAAATAGCTTCATTAGAACACATGCTCTGGCAGTGCACCAAATTCGCTCATTTATCGCACATCACCTCTGCCAGATGGGAGGCGGCAATCCGCAGCTCGTCCTTGGCAGATCAGCTCTGGGCTGTCTCAGAAGCCCGCGAGGCGGCTGAGGAGCTTGGCATCTCAGTCCCCACGTGGGAGCTGCCCGCAACACAGTGATCTGTGTTTTGGAGGACCAAATAAAAGTTTATCCAATCCAATCCAATCGAGAGGCTGCATTTGAAATACTCATATCAACAATTTGATCAATAGTGGGATACTGAATTCCGGAAGATTTATTGATTGATTTGTGGGGTTTAACGTCCCAAAACCACCATATGGTTATGAGAGACGCCGTAGTGGAGGGCTCCGGAAATTTCGACCACCTGGGGTTCTTTAACGTGCACCCAAATCTGAGTACACGGGCCTACAACATTTCCGCCTCCATCGGAAATGCAGCCGCCACAGCCGGGATTTGATCCCGCGACCTGCGGGTCAGCAGCCGAGTACCTTAGCCACTAGACCACCGTGGCGGGGTGAATTCCGGAAGCTGTTACTCAATACAGGGACAGATGAGCAGTTGTCCTGCGTTAATTTTGAGAGATACTTTTGACTAAAATTTGTGTTGTATATATGTTGCCTAAAGTTTAATGAAATCCCTGGTGGTCATTGAAGCGCTGAAAGAACCCTGGTTTGTTCCATATGGACATACGCTTGCGTACTGTGTTTCGAAATGATTTTTCTCATACAAAAAAAAAGTGAAAAAAAAAAAACCAGCCGTGATATGCAACCACAGCGGCACCGCAACTTTGGTTGATGTGGCTGCAAATATAAAAAAAAAAAACACACGGCACAATAAAGGCGACGTAACTGAACGTTCGCGTTTATTAAACGTCCATCCTGGGCAGACAGCTAAATGCACACTGTCCACGTCGGTAGGTAACGTCACAAGTGCGTTCTCGCAACGTGCACCATTGATAACGCTGGGCGCAGCCGACCCTAGTTCGTCACTCGCGGTTCAGGCTTGTATCCGATGCGTTCGTGAACGCTAGGCTTCGCCGGGCTCAAGCCCGCAGAGTCTGCATTCGATGCGGTGGCCTTGCCGGCGGCGCCACTCGATTCGCAAGCCGCCGCCGATCCCTTGTCGTCCCATTCCTTCTTCAACGCCTCGTACTCTTGCAAATCGTCCAGTTTCACCTCGATGCGGGTAGGTTGCCGCCGATACATGGTCGCGCAGTGCGGCAGAATGCGCACGAGTGAAAACCTGGGAGCGCTTTTGTGCCGACACAACGCTCGCAATCGTACGGCGCGCGCTTACAGGACCGATTCGGAGTTTTCTATGAATAATGGCGCGGCGCGCGCATGAATAGCGCCATTTTGTTTTGTCTGGCCTACGCTTTCTGCATGCATGCCCAATCGATACCTTTTAGTACGATAAAAGTACGGTAGTGGCGCAACGTACTTGAAACTATAAATTCTTATTGTATACAAGTTTTTGAATGTTTACAAGCGCGCTGTTACTGCTTCTTTTTTGCTTAAACACGCTCAAGTTATTTGACTGTAAACAAGACTATAAAGAGTCTAATTAACGTCATAACATTCAGTAGTTTTGTTTAAAAAAGTGGCGCCACCTAAATTAGAGTTTTTTTGTTATATTTGGCAGGCACAAAGAACTGCACAGACCCACGGAGGAACACAGACCTAACATATTTGTGGTTGTTTCGTAATTTGTGTCTACAAATATCTTGCCATTTGTGGCCACTAACTAATAAAAAGGCTTCGTGTTTTAGATTTATTTTTGCGAATAATTAAAAAAGCGTTAGAATATAATTGTCGTAAGAGCATGTATAAGTGAGTGGATTGGATTGGATTTGCTGTGTACTTGTAGTTGTTGACGGGCTGTCTCAGACATGACCTACTACACTCCTGACCTGCCCAGAGAGCACCTCTTCCAGCGCCCACGTTCTAGTTCATACCTTCTGCCGCTAGGGCCGTAACTTAGGAGCACTGTGGCGCTAGTCAGCACCTGTTCGCTGACGTCAGCTTGAGTGTTCGTGGTCATATTTCGGCCAACAGAGCACTCATATTGCGTAATTATTATGCACTAATGAAAAATAATTTTGAAACAAATATTTCAAAAGTCATTCACAAATTCTTTGCAATTAAATGGACGCAACATCACATATGCTGTCCTACACTATGTAAGTCTACGGATTCTCGCATTTGTCCACCAGTGTGCAATAAATTTTTCGTCACACTGAACAGCTTACTTGACCAGTCATCTAAGTGAAAAAATAGTCACATATATGCCGGCTGTTCATCACGGAATGCAGCCGTTCTTACTCTAGCGCCGTCCAAACAGCCGTAAAGTAGCAGACGAACAGGTTATAGGTAGCGCCACCTACGGCGAGCGATTGAACGAGAGCGGGGACACGCGCTCCCATAGGAACCCCGCTATCTGAACAGGTCAGGAGTGTAGTAGGTCATGGTCTCAGAGCTGTTTCGCGGCGGTGACAACGGCACTAGCCCTTTCGCTTCTTGTCTTCGGCGTTATCGCGTCAAACGTTGTCGAAGCAAGGCCTACAATTCAAGAGATTCTTCTCGCCCCATAGACAGCGTCTCGTGCGTCAGGAATCGTCGTAGCTCGAGTGATGGAGGAGTCGACGTCGCCAGAGCCGGAGTCGAGGCCTACCAGAAGCAGAGGTATGTGGCGGCAAAATGTAAACCGCGCAGGTCTTCACTGTCCCGACAGCATCGTGTATTTCTTTTCCCCAGTGTCGTGCATGCCGCGTTGCGATTTAGGGTGTCCGTTTAAGCGAACTTGGCGTAGCAAGTCTTGGTGGCCAGCAGATCGATTTTTGTGCGTTACACGCGGTGTTCACCCCAGCATGTGCGTGCCGGGACGTGAACCCATTTCAGTGTTTGTGGGGGGGGGGGGGGGGGGGGGCTACTGCATAGGCGTATCAACCGGGGGAGGGGGGCGCTAGTCCCCCCCCCACTGAGGAAAGATGGGGAGGGGGGGGGGGGGCTGAGCACCCACACCTTCGACAGTGGTCACTCTTGGCTGCATGCTGGGGAAAGGAACAAGTAAGGCGTGGTTTTCCATCACAATGGTAATTGCTCAATAATGAAAGCGTTAGGCTATATACGCTACAACACAGTGAAATTTCGCCAATATTGCCGCCTTGATGATTTTTCTTGTAGGTTCATATATATATATATATATATATATATATATATATATATATATATATATATATATATATATATATATATATATATATATATATATATATATACCGGCTGACGAGTGGTGTAAACTCCCCCCCCCCACACACCCGCGAAAGAGTTGGTACGCCACCGGGGCTAGGGAAACGTTTGCCCCCTCACTGTCAAAAGTGCAGGGGGAGACAAAACCATCCCATTTTCTGCAAGCGATCTGTTTTCGCTGCTCACAGCAGCAAATCCAACTGAGGCTAACTTTTCGTTCCGCAAAGCAAGTTCGATTTTGCGCTGCTTAATCGGATTATACAACATGGGGGGGGGGGAGGGGGTTGCACTCCCGTTTTCCCTCATTTATAAAATCGAGCATTGGGGAGTTTTAGAATAGCGCACCGCGAGCCCTTGCGATGTGGTCGCTGGCTCTGCACACGCGTCATAACGCGAGTCACCGTCTACGTTCGCGGCCCGCATGCAGAAAATCCAAAATAGCATGCGGTGATCGAGGTCACTAAGTGCTGTGAGTAGCTTCCGTGGGTTTGGGTTTGCGGTCGGGGCGAAAGTCCCTAGACTTTTCCCTGGGGGGGGGGGGGGGGGGGGGGGCAAACGTTATTGTAAAACTCATATGGCACCGCAGCCCCCGCAAACGTTATTCTAACCCCAGAATGCAGAGATGTTACTTGACTCGTTCTTGACTCAAGACAGTCTTGCCGGTCACCATAAATCGTTCTCGAACTTGCGGACGACTTGAAGGCGACTTGGCTCGGTTGAAGTCAGGACAATTTTCAAGTCAGCTGCGGGGCTAGCTTGAAAGCGACTTCACGCGTTATTGTAACATGGCCACCTCTCGAATGGACGTCGCGCGGAGGGTGGCCGCTTTTGTGTTTGCTTACCTCGCCATAAGCGTAGCATTTTCTGAGGCGCACTGCCTGCCGAAGATTCTTGGACCCGCTTTACGTGACTGAGGAAATTCAATGGGAGTTGTGCGACGAGGAACAATTCCACGCTCGATACAGATTCACGAGGAACGCCGTGCGGCAGCTGCTGGGTATGCTGCCGCTCCGTGAAAGTGGGGACAACCGAAGACACCTTGTGCCTACAGTGTTACAGCTACTGATGGCTCTCAGGTTTTACGGCGCTGGCACATTCCAAACAGTCACCGGGAATCTCATCCGCATTCCGCAGTTGACAGTTTGCCGTGCAGTAGGAAAAGTTGCGCTACTCATGGCAAAGCACCTGTACGCAATGCTGGTGCGCTTTCCGCAGCTGGCAGCACTTTCTATAGTTATGGGGGACTTTATGAAGTGGCTGAGTTCCCTGGTGTTACAGGCTGTGTCGACTATACACACGTGCGTATTAATAGCTTTAGTGGGGACGACACCGAAGTGCTCCGTAACCGCAACGGCCATTTCTGTTTTTCTTAAAGAAACACGACGACAATTTCCGCCTCTTTCGGTACAAAATTGACTCGACGCTGTGTCTGTGTGCCTCGTCTATCCTTTCGTCCCATCTAGGGCGCTGTTTCTCGCTCAAAAAGGCATCACTTGTAGCACAACGCTACGTAAAAGTCCACACACATAAAATAGAGATGCCCCTATCACGGGTTTTTTTATCCGCTTCACCATCATGCAGCACTGCTGCACCCCGCGAGACAGAATTCTGCTGAGGGCAATGTCCTGACCCCCGCTTTTTCTCGTTTACCAAGCTCAACAAAAGGACACGAATCACATTTGTTCCCAGAACTTTTTTTTTTTTTTTCATAACTGCGCCCTAGCCCACTACAGGCATACACACAGGCGAACAGAAAGGCAAATACCGCAAAAATCGTGTCACCTCGTAAGCCAGGTCAGCACAAATATATGCTGTGGCGTTCGATTGAAAAAAAAAAAAACGACGAAAGAACCCAACAGGATGCTTGCTTCGCCTCTAAACAAGCAACCATGGAGAAACACGCCGCATTTGGGTGGCCACTAAAACCAGCGAGCAACAAACGCTTTACAGAAGCAACACTGCGCATCGCTGTGGCGGCAGGCCCCACGTGCCACACTTTAGCCATAAAATGGCAAGAATATGCTTGTGGCCCTTCGTTTTTATAGTTATTTTAAAACGTATGGTCTTTTTTTGCTGTAATGCATGCCTTACGCGAACAACTTCATTATCACCCTCGTTAATAGGCAAGCAGCGTGTTTCTGCTTTGAAGCTCGTTCTTGACTTGACCAAGCAAGACAGCCTGAGTATCTATGAAACGCGAAGGCTGACTTGGGCGTTATGAAGTCCGCTGCTTGCTTCACGCCGACTTGCTCAAGTTAAGTTGAAGTCGCGAGCCAAGTAACATATCTGCATTCTGGGATAAAACTCCCTATTAGAGAATTGAGAGTCTTAGAATACGCAAAGCTTGCGGGCGTAGCGTCTGCGTTCGTCATTCCACAAGAACCTGCAGAAGGTGAGCGAAAGACGCATGCGCAACGCAAAGCTTTGCGTTGCACATGCGTCTTTCGCTCATTTCTTGCGGTGTTCTAAAATTGTATTATTAGCCTGCACATTATGGTGTACTGTATAGTTGGACAAAATGGAGTGTAGTCTGAACAGGAAACTGCGTCTTTAATCTCTAGCCAATTGTTGCAGGCGGAAACGTTTGAGTTCATCTAGATGACGCTTAGAGAAGTATTTGCAGTTAGTTCCCTCGTCTGTAGTCCTGACAACTGCACGAACTTTCAAACAAAACAATAGAACCATTCACCTTACCCATGCAATGTAGCTAAGTTTGTGTCGGCAAAGAGCTGCTTATAATTGCTGCATTCAAGTGGAATGCCAAATCATTGACCAAATGTTAGGGTACGTTGCATTGGATAGGTAGTACAGAAGAACACTCTCAAAAGACACAGAAAGCACAAGAACTAGTTGCGCCTAACTGTTAAACACAAGAACTAGTTGCGCCTAATTGTTTTTGTGTATTCCTTGCTCTACGTGAATGCTGTCTAGTCCCGCCTGTATGGTCAAAATTCTCCATCCTTTATTCAAAATGTACCAGCTAGCCAAAAGAAATGCTTGACTGAATTGTCAAATCATTACTCTCAGAAACACTTCTGCAGGCATCTTTTTAAGGGGACACTAAGGAGAAACAGTCATTTGGTTGAGATTGACCAACTACACTCTGAGAACTCTAATGCCATAAGTTTCACTATCAATAGTTCGTCATTAGCAGAGAAAATTAAGGTTGAAGTTTGATTTTTAAGTTTCACACCGAAATTTCTGCATGCGATGTGAAAAATTTTGAAATGTGTTTCTCGTATTTTCGTGACATTGGCACGATGAAGTTTTTTAAACTTCGTATGCTAAGTCTATGGCATACACAGATGAAAATTTGCTTTGTTTCTATCGAACCTGCGTCAGGACCGGGTGTCAGACACCTTAAAAATTTTTTACAACACAGTGCTTCGTGCAGGCATCTCAAAGTGGCGTCTCCACCCACATTTTAGCAGTGAAACTAGGCATTACAAGGGTGAATATTTTTCTTTTCACTATCATGGCAATTTCATAGGGTATCTGGACCTCTGCCAAACTCAAACCGCAGAGAGTATGCATAGCTGTGCACTTCATTGCCAGTCTTCTCTGCTGTCTTATTCTGTGCAGCTAAGAGGATATCGGTTTTTGTGTTTGTCTCTGATATGAGCATAGTGTCAAGCTATAATCTGGTGAGACAGGTCGTATGAGTGTCATTGGCCTTGAAGGACAGCTCCAAGACTGATTTTTTTTTTTTTTTTTGATTGTAATCACTTTTATTTATCCGTCTTTTTGTCTCATCATGCTGAAATATTTATTTTAACACCACTCATGTTGACTTCTCGGGCGCCCTTGAAGCACACGAGCGTTGTAATAAAAGAACAATTTACTTATACTTAATAAAACAAATGCCACACAGGCCACAAACTGCACGTGAGTCTCTCCCAACGTCGTCGTCCTTCTTCACTGCCCACAACATGGCACGTGCATTTCTAACATTCGGTCATCCTGCAAGCGACTTAACGTACTCGTTAAGGCTGTCCCAAAAATATTCTTCGCTGATTCTACTTAAAAATGTACGACCATCCTACTCACTTGCTTATTAAATGGCACATTATAGAAACGAGATGAAGAAGGAACAAAAACAAAATAAGGCAAAACTACACTGACGCATTAAGCTTTTCAAGGCACACAGAAGTTTGCCTGTTCGTAGCGGGAAAATTTCAAGGAAATGTCGTAGTTTTCAGCCATTCTGACTGGCTTGACATTGAGGTAAGCGACAACACGCACGGTGCCAGTGTTTTTTTCCCTACACTTCAGCTTCGACACTTGGTGTGGCTCGGGCTTCGACTTTCGGCCTTTCTGCGGTGATTCTTTCTTCGGATTCGCTCCGGCGTTTGGAAGGTGTTCTGTGACCTCCTCAGTGACGTCTGGTTCTCTTGACTTCGGCTCGTTATCTTCCTTCGTCTTTGCCCGGCGAT